TTTGCTCTTAGGGTCGTTCACATTTTTCGATGCATTTCTTTCGTGCCTCATTTGTGTGTGCAATGTTTCATTTCATATTGCATCATATTACGTGCATTATTCATGTTACTCATTAGTTCTGTCTCTACGTGTGCCAGATGGCCCGTAAGCGTTCTCGACCCTCTGCGCAGCCGGCCAGTGGTTCGACGTCGTATAGTCGATCGCGATTCATTTCTGCTACAGTTTAGGAGGTCTTCACTTCTCAGTTCTCCTTACGCCCCGTACTTGTGGAGCGTGAGGTAATCTTATCTGACCTTCCTGTTGATATAGCCGCCATTTTTGTTTCCCGAGGTTGGGAGCCCCTTCTTGTTGGTCTTTCACCTCCGCCCCCACTCCTGGTTCAGGAGTTTTATGCTAATATTCATGACATAGACGGCTCGTCGTTTAGAGTTTTTCTTAGAGGTCATTCTTTTAGGGTTACTCCGTCAGTAGTAGCTCATGCTTTAGGTATATCTTAGATTACCCATCCGACTTTTCCTTATATTCTACCTGCTTCTATTTCGGTCGATGCCCTTGTTCGGTCGACGCTTTTGAACACCCCGTCTGTCGGGGGGCTTACGGCGATGGCCAAGGGTTCTTTACCCACCGATCGTCAGGTTTTGTTACACATCATGTGCACAAACCTGTGGCCTGTTGCCCACACGTCTTCGTTACCTATGGTGAGGGCCCGTTTTCTATATGCCCTTCTTCATGGGGACTCGATCGACCTTCCTAGTTTTGTGTGCCAGCAGATTCTGACTTCATTTCGTACTCCTGGGGGACGGATCGGGTTGCCTTATGCTTGCTTGATTCATAGGGTTGCTTTGTCTTTAGGTACTTCTTTTCCAGAGGGTTCGACTAGTCGAATAGGATGTCCGATAGGACAACAGACCATTCATCAGAGTTGATCCCATGTTCCGTTTTCTTCCTCTTCTGCTCATGTTGCGGCTCAGGCTGAGCCTGTTGATGTCTTTGATTTTTCGGAGCCCCTTGATCCTATTACTGATATTCTTACTGGGGGTTCTTGTGTCTTTCTTCCTTCTCGTTCCGATCCTCCTTTAGCTATTCCGCTTAGCTCTACCTTTCCTTCGACATCTACTTCTGCTCCTGGCGTGGCTGCTTTGCCCGTTTGACCCCCACGGTGATGCTTATGGGACAGATGTCTACACTGGTCGAGCAGCAGGCTCGTATGATGGCTGAGATCACGCAGTTACGTGCTGCTTCGGAGCGTCATTCAGCTGAGCTTTCTCCTTTTCGCCGTGCTCTTGCCGTGTGTCAGCAACATTTGCGCTGGATTCGTGATAGTATAGAGGAGAGCACGAGTGGCGAGAGCGGTGTTGAGTCTTCGGATGCTGGAGGTGCTGCCTCATAGTTAGTTAGTGGATTGTTTTTGATCCTTTGTCCTTCGTGACAAAAAGGGGGAGTAGATATTTTGGATAGCATTGGATAGATAGATATCGATTTTTTGGTAATTGTGATATAAAGATGATGTGTATATAATTCACGACTAGATTAAGTTTTTGATGTTTTGACAATATTAATGTATGTTTTTGACCTACATTATTATTGTTTCTTAATCTGGTTAATGACGTATGATCTATTTCTTGTTTTTATTTACTGTTTCCATTTCACATGCTTTTACACTTGGTATTTGAGTTTTTGATTTTCAGGAAACAGGTTTAACAAGAGATAGCTACTTTGGTTGAATAGATAGGTTGTTTGGAGTCATTTTTATTTATGTCCTTGACTGTCATATGTATTTTTGTCACAGAATGCCAAAGGAGGAGTTTGTTAAGAAAATGTGTAATTGGCAATCTGTGACCAAAGGACCTATTTGTCAAAATTGTAAAGTCAAGGACCAAATTGTAAAGGTCTAATAGTTCAGGAACTAAAGTTGCAATTTAGCAAAGTTCATAGCATAGGTCTAGGGTAAAGTGGGATGCTTTGAAGATGCAAACGGCGCGTTGATTTCGCTAGAGTTTCGCCCTGACCTCGCTCGAGCCTAAATTGCAGAACAGACGTCGCTAGAGTTTCGCTGAGCTGTCGCTCGAGCGAAGGTGCGTCGCTCGAGTTTTGCCAGCATCTCGCTCGAGCGACGGTGTTATCTGGCCTTTGGTAATTTTAATGCCTCGCGAATTTTTAACGCTCCATATTACCAAATTCAACCTATTATATAAACAAAACGTCCGATTTTCGTTAAAGACCTTTGGCAAACATTTAAATAGGAATTTCTCTCAACTTCCAAAGGATTAAGAACCTAATATTCATTCTTTTCATCTTTTAATTCTCATGGTTCTTTGAATAAAAACATCAACCCTCTCAAAACCAAAACACCATTTCATATCTCCATATCAACTTCCAGAAGATCGTCAGTTTGAAGATCCGGGAAGGGAATTGCTTGAAGAGCTAGAGTGCTTGGTGATTCACGGGAGGTAGAAGATATTCAAGGCTGAGATTTTGGCGCAGATCTGCAAAATCCAGGATAGCTGTGGTCGATACAGTAAGGAGGTCAGAGTATTGTCAGAATCAATAATGTCTGGCGTACTGTAAGTCAATATCTTCTATAGTGGATCTCTACTGGCTTGTGCCTGGGTTTTTACCCAGTTGGGTTTTCTCCGTCAACATTTTGTGGCGTTTTTACCGATTTTTGTTATTTACTTTTCAACCGGTAATTCAACTTAGGTAGATAAAGTATGTGAATGAATCAGACAATGCATAATTTACGTGACTTGTTGCATAAGTTAATTAATTGCCTTAATTCCGCATAAACACCTATTCACCCCCCTCTAGGTGTTGGTTGAGTCGAACTATAGCTTTTTCATATTGAAATTCATTTTGAAAACTATATCATAGATACATCGAATGACCTAAATGAATATTGAAAATAGTTAAACGTACATCAAACGTGTGTTAAAAAATGCATATACCTCATCTTTTTTCTTAAAAAAAATCGATTATTTTATTAATGTTTATTATTTTTTCCTGACAATTTTCTTAATATAATTTATATCATTTTCTTAAAAAAATATATTATGTTGTATGACGTCAACTATTTTTTTTGACGTAAAAATTCAAATCAGGCAAAACAGCAGCACCACACACGCATAGAAAGACCATTAGAATTTTAAGAGTAAAATGAGATATTATGGTATATTCGTGGGTAAAATAAGGAAATACAAAATACGTCCTGAATCAATAGTGCTCACGTCATTCACTCTTTTATTGTAGTAGGGAGATAGATGTTGCGTAAAGGAATAGAGAAATGTAGGAAAAATGACGCCATTTTCTTCTTTTGTACAATAAATTGAGATTAATTTACATCCACTGTAGCACCTCGTTTCCTTTTTAAAAGAAGTTAGAAAAAGTAGCTACAATATAAGATATTTGGGGCTCAAAAGTGGGAAACAGTAAAAAAAAACTTAAAAGAAATAGAAGAGAACCAGATTATTTACCAAAACAGTACCGATTTCTTTACCAAAAGAAATGTATTTTCTGACTATTAGTGGGCCTCTTTGTGAGATTGGAAAGTCAATAATACCATTAGTGGGCCCCTTCGTGAGATAGGGAAATCAACAAATTCGACTAGCAGATTTGCAACAGTCCAAAATGGGCTTAAAATCTTGGAAAAAAGCAGAAATAGAGAAGACCATTAGACCACGTTTCAAAAGTGAAATGGGATATTGAAGGGTAAAATAAAAAAACTCAAAATACGTCATGAATGAACAATAACCAGCATATTGCCTTTATTGTAGTAGGGATATATTGGCCCCGTTTGGTACCCATTTTTTTCAAAATGTATTTTTCTCTCTCTTCTTTTCAACCACACGCTTTTTATTAAAATAATATTTCACGTAAATAAAAAAATTTTCTTTATTTTTCAACCACACATTTCTCATCAATTTACTATCATAAAATGCATTTTTACATGAAAATGGGTATTAAACACCCTCATTGAGTCAGAGTCAAACATTAATTTGAACCAAAAATATATAGTTAGTACTCATTTATTATTCGCGTAGGATTCATTATCCCTCATTAGTCATTACAATTATACGAACAAGCCCCTCAGGGTATAGTCCAGTGGTGCAAAAGACAGGAGTGATATTATCTTATATTTTGCTGGCAGTCGCAGTTTGGGAGTTTGATTCATGAGACATGAAATTGGATTTCTTGTAGACGCAGTGTACAGACAGATCTTGTTCCCTGACTTATTGAGACACATTCTGCGATTTACCTCCCTCACAAAACTCTAGGGGCGGAGCAGTGGAAGTTCTAAAGATTGAGGTTCAACTTTTTTTTGTTTTATTATTATTTTTTATTTTTTTAATTATACGAACAAGCACAATGTAAACATGTGTTAACTCAATAATTAAATTGTATTTAAATCGTATTTTTGTTGACTATGTGCTGCTGTTTCCATTTCTTAATGCTCGGTTCGTGTTTCGTTTTTAAGCGGCTCAAATTATAATTTGACAAATTATAATTTATGAACAATGGGCATTAATTGAGACTCTTATTAGATGTGTAGTTAGGCTTAATTAAGCCTCCATTTGGAAATAATTTATAAATGATTTACTTTGCTGAAAAAATAAAATTTGATCTTTTATAAATAATTTATAAAAAATTTCTTTGACAAAGTCCATTTTAATATAGAATAAAAGTTGATAAAAATTTCCAAGTTAAAATCAATGAAATAATTATTTTAATCAAACATTTTGTAAAATCCATGTTTGATATATAGAATAAAAGTTGATAAAAAATTGAAGTTAAACTTAAAGTTAGAAAAATAAATAATTTTAATCAAGCATTTAATAAAATTCACAACTTTTTAAATATATATTTTATAAATTTTAAAAATCTTATTTCAGCACCGGCGAAATATAAAAAGATGAAATTCCACTTTTATTCTATGAAAGTGAGAAGTTTTTGGTCAAAAAAGCTATTGCCACGTGTCAAATTCATGGAAATATAGAAATAACGAAAAAATTATTTTTACTTACTATGAATGAAGGAAGACATAAAACCGTCTACATTAATCACGGCACTTCGTGCATCGTGTGTTGTACAGAGTTCCGATCAGAATGAGTGCTGAACAGAGTTTGGCGCATACGTCGTCATCACACTTCTCTCATTTCTGGTCGTCGGCGTTGAGGTCCAAACCGTTATCTCCAGCATCGGAGACTTATGTCCGCACCAATTCCGGCGAGGGACTCGTCCGTCGTTTAAGCCTCTTTGATCTCCTTCTCCTAGGGATTGGAGCCTCCTTTGGCGCTGGCATATTTGTCGTCACTGGCACGGTCGCTAAAGACGCCGGTCCTGGTGAGCAATTCCGATTTCACCAAATAGTGTTTTAACCAGTTTAAGCTCAAATTTTATTCGTTTAAATCTTGTCATCAACTTCCTAAATGTATGGTTTGTGTTTTGATCGTAAAAATCGATTTTTTTTTTCCGGGGAATTGGCAAATAACACGTGAGTTGGAAACCGCATAGATAATGTGCGAAATGCAAAAAATATAGAACTATGAAATTTTTATGACATTGTCATTTCATCTGAAAAGAGATTCACTCCATTAGCCAAATTGGCGGGAGACTGCTGTGCGGAAACCATGAGAATGATGTGCAGTTTCCCCTGATGTTTGTTGTAGCTCTTTATCAATTATGAAGAGTCTTTGGTTTATCATTCTTTTACTCTGAATTTTATTTTTTTTATGAAATTTTCACTTATTTTAATCTGAATTCTGCTTTAAAAGATGAAGTATGAAAGATTTTCATTTAGCTGCCAGTAAGATTTAATCAGCTATGTTTTGAGTTGCCACTGAATATTGGTATTTTAAAATCCACGGAAAGTGCATAAACTGGCCTGAATTTGGTTATGCTAAATAATGTCTGAATTCTGCTTTAAAATAATGTTTGACTCGATGGTACTTGATAATTTATATATGGGTGATAAAGGAAATTCAGGAATTCATCAGTGAAGTATATTTTATTACTAGTAAACTAGATTGCCAAATAAGCATTATTGGATTGCTGATAAAACTACGTTCTATTTCTATTGAGTGATTTAATTATATGAGGTCAACAATATAGGAAAACTTTCCAGTTCGGACATGTCTGTCTCTGATGCATATTATGGTAAATGAATTTGATACATCAATGTTTCTTTCACCTTGGCTTGGGTAAATTTCATTTCTTTGCGATCTGCTTGGATTGAAGGATTAAGATGTATAGATTTATCCATATGACAAATTCATGGTTGAATGGTTTTGAGTTCCTACGGACTTCTATTAAGTGCTGTTAAATTTTTATGCTGAATTTGACATTCATCAGAAAAAGTATCATTATTAATCCTCTCTATTCTCAACTAATTATCGATCTATTTAAAGATCTAGATTTGAAATGCTTAGCCAAATCCTCTTCTTATTCAAACAATATATTTCAAATTATTTAATATTGTCAGTCTCAAAGTTTTGGCATACAGTTTTCTTCTCAGACAGTTTGTTTAAGCTAAATTTTGATATTCCCATTTGAATTTTATTCATATGAAATTGAAAACCTCATTTGGTGTGAGAATTGGCAGTGGTTCACTGACGCTGTAACTGAAAACCTCTTTTTCAATGTTTGACCTGTTAATTTTATTCACATGACATTGAAACCCCCTTTGTCAATGTTGTTCAATCTTTATCTATTTGACCCGGTAATTTCTGTGTCGCTGATTCACTGATGCCTCATTTTTTACCTCCCCCATGCAGGAGTTACAATTAGCTTCATCATTGCAGGAGCATGTTGTGTACTGAATGCACTCTGCTATGCTGAGCTAGCTTCTCGCTTTCCTGCAGTTGTTGGGGGAGCTTACCTTTATACATACTCGGCTTTCAACGAGCTTACTGCTTTTCTTGTGTTTGCTCAATTGATGCTAGACTATCATATTGGTGCAGCTAGCATTGCACGTAGCTTAGCAAGCTATGTAGTTTCATTACTGGAGCTCATTCCCCTTTTCAAGGATAACATCCCTAACTGGTTTGGGCATGGTCACGAAGTTCTTGGAGCATTATCTATCAATATATTAGCTCCAATTCTCCTAGTGCTTCTGACTATAGTTCTTTGTTGGGGAGTTGGAGAGTCATCAATATTGAATTCACTCATGACAGTAACAAAGGTTATTCTTATTTTACGCTCTTTTACACGTTGTTGATTAGATCCAGAATGAAATTCTGGGGAGTTTATCTCTTTGCATTAATCATCAGTAAAGTAGCCGCACACTGGTTAATTTGTCCTATCGAAAGTTCATTTTCATTTTCTTTGAAATTCCTGCGGACACTGGATACGCCTGACAAAAAATGAATCTTTCTCAGATGGAAGTCTTTGAAGATTTGGTTTATAAATGATTTGTAAATTTTGCCAAATGGAAGCAATATTTTAGGTTATTTCTATTTAACCTTTTTAATCAAAGCTGAGCTGAAACTATTGACACCAGTGGTTGTGGGTCCTCTTAGGTTATGACCTTGAAACTGATTTCTTTATCTTCAGGAAAGTATATGTGCACTTTGACTGATTTTTATATATTGGAGAATCTGAATCCATATCCAAGCATCATAATTCTTGCCAGATGTTAATAATAAGGTTAAAGGGCATCTTCTGTAGGCTATTAGTTGCTCAGTTATTTTTTATTTATTTAATCTTACATTTCAGTTGTGGATGGTGGATTTATTTTTTGCTACTCTAAATAAAATACAGGTACAGATAATGAATTTGTATTAG